ATTCATTAACAGTTTTCTGCCACCACAGTTCAGACTTGTAGTTTCAATGGGCTGAAGAGTGCTCTCGTAGTTCATTGACATGTCATTTGGCTTTAAAATGGAGCCCGTACAGAGGTATGGGCTGAAAGCTGGAGACATGTCTGTGGCAGTCCACCACTTATGCTGCAGGGAAAAAAAATAATGCACCTTTTTTTTTTTTTTTTTTTTTGCAAAAATATGTGCATTTATTTTTTTTCTGTACAGGTGAAATTGGCGTTGGGAACAAAAGAGGCTTCTGTAAAGTATTCTCAATAGAAGACCATATATGGTGACTGAGGTTAAATATTACTGTGTTTTTGATTATCCAGTTTTGGTTGCCCCTTGCCTCATCCATGAGGCTTTCCTTTTTAGTTGAGAGATAGTCTAGGGCAGGGCTTAAAATTTTGAGTCTAGACCTACTAGCCAGGCACAAACCTTACTCTCCATCAGTTGCCCCACCCAACCTTGCCCAGGTCCGCCTCCAACCCTGCCCCCAACCAAGCCCCCTTAAAGCTTATGAAATTACATTTTTCTTTAGAATAAAGAGTCCAAAGTATAGAAAACTGCAATTATGACATAGCTTTATTATGTCAATTTAAACATAACAGCAATAGCTTAATAGCAATAGGGTGCAATCAAAATATCAAGTTTTACAGCTTTAAACCTGAAGTGAACATTTTGTATTTTTTTTTGTTTATCTCCTGCATCTTTAAAAAGAGACTTTTTAATATGACGATATGATTTTTGTTAGTGAGCACATATTTTCAGTTATTGCAGTTCTTTTCCTTAAACTGATTTTTGTATAATACTTTTATATTTTTATTATTCATTTATTAATCACTTGCCTACCAGGCACTTATACCCCCTTATTTACCAGGCCAATTTTCAGCTTTCAGCGCTGCCGCACTTTGACAATTGCGCGGTCATGGAACATTGTACCAATATGAAATTTTGATCATTTTTTTCTCACAAATAGAGCTTTCTTTTGGTGGTATTTAATCGCCACTGGGCGCTTTACTTTTTGCGCTATAAATAAAAAAAAGTGCAAAAAATTTGAAAAAAAAAAAAATTTTCTTTGTTTCTGTTATAACATTTTTCAAACAGGTAATTTTTCTCCTTCACTGATGTGCGTTGATGAGGCAGCACTGATGGGCACTGATAGGCACTGATAGGCAGTACTAATGAGGTGGCACGGATAGGCGGCACTAATATGCAGCACTGATAGGTGACACCGATGATGGGTACTGATAGACGGTACTGACTGGCATCACTGCTGGGCACTGACTGGCACACAACCGCTGGACACTGACTGGTGGCACTGACTGGCAGCACTGGTGGGTGGGCACTGGTGGGTGGGCACAGGTGGGTGGCACTTCTGGGCACAGGTGGGTGGCACTTCAGAGTGGCACAGGTGGGTGGCACTTCTGCACAGTGGCACAGGGCACAGGGTGCACTGCAGGTGCACAGGTGGGTGATCTGCTGGGCACAGGTGGGCGGAGCTAGTGGGCGCACTGCTGGGCACAGGTGGGCGGAACTTGCGGGTGCCACTGCTGGGCACCGATCATCAGGGCACTGATCATCAGTGCCCTGATGATCGGTGCCGATCCTCGCTCTGACAACTGCCGGTTCTCGGCAGTACTTTCCTCACGATCTGACAGCGTGAGGAAAGTGCAGCCGAGGACCGGCACTTGCATTTCCCTCTGATCAGCGTGTCATTGGACACCGCTGATCACGTGGTAAAAGGCCGCTGTGATTGGCCTTTTACCACATCACGTGATCAGCTGTGTCCGTAGGACACAGCGATCACGGAAATCGCCGGGTGTGCGCCCCCTGGGGCGCGCAGGAGAGCGCGTTCTGGGAGGACGTCATATGACGTCCACTCAGAACTGGCCGGCCGCAGTGCAGCCGTCATTCGGCTATCTGCGGTCGGCAACAAGTTAAAGTCAAGTTGTATTTTAGCAGAAAATTATACAAAGAAAATCAATGTTTTGGAACCGTAAATAACAAGTGTCTTACAGTTTATTTTGTAGCCCTATGCTCAGAGGTATACTGCAGTATACTAAGGCCACTGAGCTCTGTGTGAGGGCAGTGCAGTGGTTTCTCTACAGTGATCCCCCAAGGCGGGGGAGAGCGGACCTCTCTCCTCAAGTCCCCCGCGGCGGTGGAGAGGGTGTCTCCTCTCAGCAGAGGAGAGCGGACCTCTCCTGCACCTGTCCCCTTGGTGGCGCTGTCAGTGTAATAGCGGTGCTGAAGAAACCGGAACTCTTCACAATGAGGCTTGGAGCACAGGTGCAGCCGCTCCATCCATTTGTGCTCGCCACACAAGAATTTCTCATCACATTTGGCAAGCGGCTTTTTTCAAGCCCTGGTCTAGGGAATAAGGGTTACTGATGGGACCTGTTGGACGTATTGCCTAAATGTGCCGTCCATTGGGATGAATTTTTGCCTGGTTCAGTGGATGAGTTTTTCAGAACTGAAATCCATGTTAACAGTATTGGGCAGCGGTGGGTAGGGTACAGGATCCTCAATAGAACCGTACGTTGTGGTGTTAGCTTAGTCCTCATGGCTTTAATTTCTTCTTCTTACTGCTCTATGCACAATGGCTTAAAAATAGCTTCTTCTACAGGAGTTTTGCATTTTACCTGTAGAAGCAGCTCAATGTTGTGCTAGCATATTTTAAGCTCAATGTGTAGAGGCAGGAAGAAAAACCCTTCTGGTTTGCATTTTTGATTGGAGCTTTCTGGCAGAAAAAAAACACCAAACTCCCCTAAACTGTGTACACAAATGCTGTATATCAGCGGTTTTTTTTTTTTTTTTTTTTTTTTTTTTTTTTTGTTTTTTAAGCCAGTGTGCATGGAGTCTAATTGTCTGCTTATAGTAGGTTTTGTTAGCACTTCAAGTGTTTTTTGTTTTTTTTTGTTAATGTGTGTTTTGTTTTGTACTAAAACCAATATAGCAATAGTAGTATTTAACAGCCCAGGCAGCAGAAAATTAAAGAAGGCTATTAGTAGGGTGTACATTTACTTTTGATACAGTATACCCTATACAGGCTGTTGGGTGCATGTTCCTGATGTGTAAATGGTTTTATAATGGTCTGATTAATTTTCAATACTTGTAAAATGAGGTAACATTTGGCACTCTTTCCCCCATTTTCAAGGGAATAGATAAAGTATATACTCTATAATGAAGTACTTAAGTTTTGTTTTTTGTTTTTCTCTAGTTCAGATCAAGATTAGTATGTACTTTATGTATTGCCATAGATTTAGATTTATGAATACTGATTGTACTACTTTCTATTTTCTGTTGATTGTAAATTTTTGATTTTCAGTCATAAATCATAGTAAAAATCTCAGTTTCCAATACAGTGCAGTCTTTTGGCAATCTTCAACTGCTTTTATAAGGAGTTTGTAGAGTTGAGAATCTTCTTACAAATTTCTGTGAATCGATACTTCATGTGAAAAGCAACTGCATGTGATTGGTTATTCAAAGTGAACAGGAATTTGCTTTGTATATTTATTGGATAAAATAAAATCAGTATTTACACATTTTTATAATGAAGATGCTTCAGTCCTCAAATTCGCCTTAGTATTTAGGCACTGTGCATTTTCTTATTATTGTTAATACCAGTATTTTCTGGCGTATGACTACTTTTTATACTTAAAAATATACCCCACAAAATTGGGGGTCATCTTATACGCGGGGTATAAAATGTGAACCTTGAGTTTGTTTGGGTCAAGCTGGCTGGATGTGTGGTAATACTGTACATACAGTATACTGTGCTGAACCAAGCTGGCTCAAAACAAATGTCCCTATGACAGATTAATCTGTCAGCCTGCTGGATGTGCGTTATATACAGTATACTGCGCTGAGCCAAGCGGTTTCAAAACGGCTACATGCCGTATACACTGGGCCAATCACAGCGAGTAATGTATTCTACTAATGAATACAAAGCCTGCTCAGATTGGCTGAGTCAGAGAGGTGGGCTGATGTCACAACCTCAGCCAATCCGAGCAGGCTTTGTATTCATTAGAATACATCGCTTGCCGTGATTGGCCCAGTGTATACTGTATGTAGCCTCAGCTACTGTACATACACACATCCAGCGGTCTGATTACCGTAGGGACGTACCGGTACGTTTTGAAACAGCTTGGCTCAGTATACTGTATATACCACACATCCAGCGGGCTGACAGATTAATCTGTCATAGGGACATTTGTTTTGAGCCAGCTTGGCTCAGCACAGTATACTGTATGTACATTACTGCACATCCAGCGGGCTGTATATATATACTGTATACTGTATGTAGCCGAAGCTACCGTATTACCGCACATCCAGCGGGCTGTATATATACTGTATGTAGCCAAAGCTACCGTATTACCGCACATCCAGCGGGCTGTATATATACTGTATACTGTATGTAGCCGAAGCTACCGTATTACCGCACATGCAGCGGGCTGTATATATACTGTATGTAGCCGAAGCTACCGTATTACCGCACATCCAGCGGGCTGTATATATACTGTATGTAGCCAAAGCTACCGTATTACCACACATCCAGCGGTAACCATCTGATTTGGAATTTGATCCATATGATGACTGTCTTACAAATGTATCACAAGATGTCATTCATGAACTTATGATGTCAGAGGATGAACATGATTAGGATTTTGAAAAATTTTAAGTACCGGTAAGTCATAACCATTTCAATTAAAAAATCTGATGTTTTTAAATGGTGTTGCCTCGGAAGGGGGGTAGTCTTATACGGCGAGTATAGCCCAAAACCTATGTTTTAACTGGAAAATTAGGGGGTCGTCTTATATACCCAGTCTCCTTATACGCCGGAAAATACAGTAATTTAATTTAAAAAAAAAAAAATTATAGTACAGATACGCATGTTTGTGACCTAGGGGAGGGATAGACATCTAAGGGTGGCCTGTCTAAACTTTTATAATTCAACATTTAATAACCATTTTCTCCTGCAGGCTGGTGTAAAGGGGAAGTTAGGAAGACTCCTGGGAATTTTTGAGGTAACTATTTTACTGTTTTGACTTCTTTATGCCCCAAAAATGTTTCCTAGAAGAAGGCAATGTCATGGCTTTCCACCAAGATCCTGGGAAAGCCGATAATACCAATCTGCTTAGATGCTCAAACACTCTTTTTGTGAGATTTGAAATCAACTTTCCCAGGATCTTGCCAGAAGACCAATGATCACAGCCTCGCCTAGGTGCCGTGTTTTCCTCAAGTGTTTAAAATGTTTTTGCTTACATCATGCTGCTTTATAGAATGTGAGGGGGGCTAGAGGGTCGACAGAGTCTCTGCTTGTTCATTTTACATGTGTCAAGAACAAAAAAAAATCTAATTTTTAATAGGAATATTTCACATTAAAGATAAGTATTTTTTTCCATTTAAGCAGAACCAAGATAGGAAACACAGAACGTATGTGTATGTTCTCACCGTGACAGAAGTGCTTGAAGACTGGGAGGATTCTGTGAGCATTGGTGAGTTCTTTGGATTTATTGTTGGACCTGGGAGAAATGGTATTTTCTATTCCGTTCTCTGCTTTTTTTTTTTTTTTTTTTTTTTAACTAAGCTGTCAAATAGTGCAATACTTTTGTGGGTTTTGTTTTGTTTTGTCACTGACTGAAAAGTGGTAAACTGGGTGTGCTACTTTTTTTTTTTCATTGCAGTTAACTGTGACAATAAATATCTTTATAACCGGTTATTCAAAGTGATAAGTAATTGAACTTGGACACTAAATACGCCTTTTGACATTTTAGAGATACCATTCAGCGAAATGGAATTTGAACTTTCTGACTTATTTCTTATCTCTCTATATACAATTATTCTGCTAGATTACCTGTTCCTCTGGCAGCCAGATGTGGGTATCCCCTTGAATAGCCTTTGGACTGAGTGCTGTTTAAAATGGATGTTTGATTGCCTTCAGTTTATAGATTTCAAATGTTAGCATATAGTGCTCAGTAGCAATGTTGTATACACCATGCAGCACATTACAATGAAGATATGGGGTGCTGGTGGTGATGTGGAAGCACTAATGGCATCATGTGAATTTTGTTTTCAGGGGACATATCGATTCAGCCCAGTAGTAATCCAGCACTTCCCTTTATTTTCTAAAAGAATAGCACTTTTAATCTTGTTCTAATCTCTCTTCCATTTCTGACTGAAGCACAATGAGTACATTGTATACAGTGTGATAGTATTTATGATTTTATTACCAAAATATCAAACTGTAAAAGTCCTTTTGTCATATCGATCCTCCTCCTCAAAGGTTAAAACTATTGAACATGCTAAAATTGTTTTAAAAGATGATTGGTCTGGGTATGGTCATTACTTGGTCAGATTCTGGATGTACCCTGCTTGTCATCACAGAAACTAGTCTTGTGGGCAGTAGTGAATTAAACACACCTTGCACCCTGGGCTGCTTTTAACCCACTTCTCTGAGCCTTGCCAGCCTTTTAATCCACTAATCACACTGGAGTAGCCTGCAGTACTTGGTGATATTTTAGTCTTTTACATTTTCTCCTTAGCTATACAAACAGGAAAACCACACTTTCTAATGCTCTCCTTTTTGGTGGCCCCACTTTCCTGCTTCAGGGTGGCTGTTTTCCCTTGTAGGGTACTATGGAGCCACCCTGTCGTGCATGCTCTTGGTATTTGACGACAGGGCTGTGCCAACGTGCACAGTGAAGAGGCGCATCGTATATTTTTGTGTATCATGAGCTGCCTGTGCATGTAGACAGGCCTTGGGGAGCTGCTGTTGTCATTTCCATTGGAGGGAGGGCTAGAGGTGTGGCATGAGTTGCCTGTTCATGTGAACACAGTGATTATTGCTAGCGGCTATAGCCACAGGCTATAATCACATGAAAAATCTGAAAAACTGGTTGTACCAAAGTTGTACAACAATGGAATTGGGTACAATCAGTCTGCCCATAGATGGTTCGAATCATCTATGGCCGGCTTAAAGCTGGGTATACACTTGAAGGGTGTTTTTTTGTTTTTTTTTTTTTCAATTCAACTCACTGGGTTGAATGAATAAAAAAAAAAAAAAAAAAAAAGAGGTTGCAATATTACAAGCGATGTTGGTACAGCAAACTCCCCTGCTGTGCTTTTGTGTTCTGTCGAAGACTACACCCCCCCCCCCCCCCCCCCCCCCCCCCCCCCCCAAACACACTGATCAGATGCTGGTATTCCAGCATACCCGTTCGACAGAAGTTGGTCACGAGACCACAGTCTGTAGAACCAGACAGCTGTACACACCGGCTGAAAGTCAACTGGTTCCTGCTGAGTGGATGGATTTCAACCAATTTTTGGCCTGTGTGTACAATGCATTATTATTATTATTATTATTATATAGGATTTATATAGCACCAACAGTTTGTGCAGCGCTTTATGCTGACTCGCTCACACCCTTCCAGTCATTCCTGAAGGGTCCCGTAAAGGACAGGCTACTTTTCATTCTCCTTTCCAGATGGAGTAGGCAGCTCGCCATTAAAGCGGATTTTCCCCCCCTAGATGCACTGTGCATCATTGATGTCATCCTGCACCCATCCCCCCAGCAATCTAAAACGTGTGTTTTTTTTGGTTTTTTTTTTTGTTTTTTTGCGTGCCTCCAGCTGCCATTCTTTCCTCTCCACCACTCTGAAGCCCTCTTTTGATATCCTAAGGTGCTCCACTTTTCATTCAGAGGCCAGAGTGTGGGCCTGGTTCACATGGTTAACGGGACCAGGCTGCTTGAACCAGGAAGAGACAGTCATGATGGGAACAAAGATGGCAGTGCGGTAGAATGATGGATCTGCTGGGCAGGTGAGTATGTGAATTAAGGGTAACCAACCCTGGATAACAGGTGAGGGAGGGGGGGTCTCCTTCTTTGCTGTATTTTTTTTTTCTCGTGAATTAGAAAGTTTCTACGATCAACTACCTTAGAGTTATTGGCTCTAAAGATGTGATCGTTCTTGTCTACTCATCTTTGGAGAATTATTGCCCATGTGTGTTCCAGTAAACATAGGACTCTGCAAATGAGGTTGTGCCAGTATACCTAGGGGTTCTTGCCAAGTTGTCAATCAGAGCTGTGGCAGCTCCACTATCCCTGTCTTTAAAGACTCGCACTTTTAAGTGGCTTGCTGTGTACATGCATTGTGTGATCTTGGGCTGTAAAGTATCTGGCCAGGCTGTTTTTTTTTTTTTTTTTTTTTTTTTATTCTCATATCGGCCTGGACCTTTTAGTCTTAGGTGGCCACGGTCTGTTCTTCCCGAGCACCATTTTAAAAGTCCTGCCATCTTTTATGCTTGGCGAGGACTTGTGATGCTGTTCATTAGTGGCGTGTGTGCTAGCCTCTTCCTTTTTTCATTGCTGCTAAGTGACGGGCATTTTTTCTGCAAACTGTTACCCCCCTGCAGTTGATGAGTGGTCACAAATTCATAGTTGCCTTATTTACCCCTGGTACATCTGACTTGGTTCTTGTAGTACTCTTAGGGATTTGGGTAGCTCCTTCAGGGTATTTATTTTTCTGATTGTTTGCAATATCTTGTGTGCCGAACGGTTTCCTCGTGCTGGTGATTCTTTTAATTGGGACCTTGTTTGTACTACTTGCAAGGGTGAACATGGCACAGGAAAAGTTGGTGTCTTTTTCACTTTTACATATCCCATCTACACCTTAGTGGAATCTGATGCAGAAATTCTGCATTCCATATGTGTTTTTGTTTTGAAGATTTCCCATTCTTTTTTCTAACATGGTGTTTGGGCTTAGTTTTCATGGATCTAGCATTCCAACAAGCTGTTTTTCATCTTCCTGTATTCTGTAAGTTGTCTAAAAGATCAAAACCACTAGGCTAAGCAAATCCTGGATACCAAGCAGATCCTTAGGGTCCCTACTAACTTAAATTTGGCACAAATTTCTTTTTGTACTTATTGATTGCGTTGACAGATGTTTTTCTGTCAAAACCGCATTTAGTACCAACTGGGTCAGGTCTCGGATAAACCTGTCTTCTATTCACATCTGTAGGATGCTCTGACTTCTGTGCAGCAGTGCAAGCGCGTAAGAAGTCTCTACATCCAATAGAGTCCAAATGCATATAAAAATATACTCCGTATGCCGTCCCTTCAAAGTGCAGTGCGCATGCATCTATGCCTAAATGGTGAATATCTCCTTAAAGGTACACATTCAGGAGAAATTTTTTATACCTACAGGTAAGTTTACCATGTAGATACAAGTCACCACGCAATGTGTACTACTGTTTAAAAGGGACAGGCCTTCAGTTTGTGTACCTAGAGTCCATGTGTGCTGTAGGCTACAATATAACCTTTACGTTGTTGCTTATAGTGGTATTTTCTCAAATTTGCAAAAGTGGAAATACACTTTGTTTTAGTGTGTGTGTCTCTATACATAGATATATACATACTATATTGCCAAATGTATTGGGACACCCCTCCAAATCATTGGATTCAAGTGTTCCAATTACCTCCATGACCACAGGTGTATTAACCACTTGACAACCGGGCTATAGCCGAATGAATACAGCACGGTTGTCCAGCGTGAGGAAAGTGCAGCCGACAACTGCATTTACCCAGTGATCTGCTGTCATTGGTCCAATGACACAGCAGATCACCGGGTAAATGCAGTTGTCGGCTGCACTTTCCTCATGCTGTCACAGCGTGAGGAAAGTACTGCCGATAAACGGCAATTGTCAGCGAAGTGATCGCCACTGATCATCAGAGTGAACTGCGGTCCTGCTCCTCTGTCTGCCTTCTCATTTTGCATGCTGATTGAAAGCGTTTTTAGATGTAAGTCTTCTGTACTAAAGTTTACATGTTTTACTCACCTTGACCTGTGCCCTCCTTTCTCTTCTGCTTGTCTCACTGATGATCAATGCCCAGCAGTGCCACCTATCAGTGCTGCCTCATCAATGCACATCAGTGAAGGAGAATAATTACCTGTTTGCAAAATTTTATAATAGAAACAAAGAAAACAACCCCCCCTCCCCCCTTTTTTTTTTTTTTTTTTTCTTTTTTTCTTTTCTTCTTATAGCGCAAAAAATAAAACACCCAGCAGCGATTAAATACCACCAAAAGAAAGCTCTATTTGTGTGAAAAAACAGCAACTCCGCCACGAAAATTACGTAAAATGACAGAGCAGGGTCCGCACATGCTGAAGCGCACAGTGCTCAGAAGTCGCCAACTGTCTGCAGATTCAGTAGCTAAAAACCTCCAAACTTCATGTGACCTTAAGATTAGCACAACAGTGCGTAGAGAGCTTCCATGGGTTTCCATGGCCGAGCAGCTGCATCCATGCCTTACATCACCAAGTGCAATGCAAAGCATCGGATGCAGTGGTGTAAAGCATGTTGCCACTGGACTCCAGAGCACTGAAGACGTGTTCTCTGGAGTGATGAATCTTGCTTCTCTGGCAATCTTATGGACGTGTCTGGGTTTGGCGGTTGCCAAGAGAACGGTATTTGCCTGACTGCATTGTGCCAAGTGTAAAGTTTGGTGGAGGGGGGATTATGGTGTGGGGTTGTTTTTCAGGGGTTGGGCTTTGGTCCCTTAGTTCCAGTGAAGGGAAATCTTAAGGCGTCAGCATACCAAAACATTTTGGACCATTTCATGCTCCCAACTTTGTGGTAACAGTTTGGGGATGGCCCCTTCCTGTTCCAACATCACTGGGCACCAGTGCACAATGCAAGGTGGATGAGTGAGTTAAAGTGGAGACTGCGAGCCAGGCCTTCTCATCCGACATCAGTGCCTGACCTCACAAATGCGCTTCTGGGAAGGCTGTCCACAAGGTTTTAGGAGTCTGTCTATGGGAATGTTTGACCATTCTTCCAGAAGAGTTGAAGCTGTTATAGCTGCAAAAGGTGGGCCAACTCAATATTGAACCCTACAGACTAAGACTGTGATGCCATGGGGGGGGTGACTGACTAACTGCCATTGACGTCCCCACTGACACTAATACAGTGATCAGTGCTAATAAAGCATTGACACTGTACTAATGACACTGGGCAGGAAGGGGTTAAACATCTGGGGCAATCAAAGGGTTAACTGTGTGCTGTTTTACTGTGTTGTCTGTGTGCTTTACTGTGTAAGCATGCTGCTTTGCATTGCTCTATGCAGAGCAATGCAAAGCAGCGTGCTGGTGCGGACAGGGGAGAGTTCTGTATTGTTTACATACAGACCTCTCCTCTGTCAGTGTTCTTTGCTAGTGGGGAATCGCTGGCCAGGACCCGTAGATCGACAGCTGTAGCCACCAATGGCGGCTGAGGTAACTAACCATAAGTACAAAATCACGTGTATGTGTACAGGGGCGGACTGACAACTCATGGGGCCCCCAGGCAATAGAGGATCATGGGGCCCCTGTGTCCTTGCCCAAACTCCAAGCCTATGGAAAAGGTACCAGGGGTATCTCATGGGGCCCCCTACTGACCCCGGACCTTCGGGCAGTGCCAGAGTTTCCAAATGGTCAGTCCACCCCTGTATGTGTGTATATATATACTGTTAGGTGTATATCCAAATGTACTGCCTTTCGCGTCTCATCTGGTAATAATTTCTCTTAGAATATATAGGTCAGATCCTTAACTTTCTAAGATTTTGGTTTAGACACATTGTGAGTTTTAATAATGGAATTCACCAGTTTTGCTTATTAAACTTTTTTTGCGTTTTGTTTTTTGTTTCTTCTTTAGGACGAAAGAGGGAATGGTTTAAAGTTGAAGACGCTTTGAAAGTGTTGCAGTGCCACAAGCCTGTACATGCAGAATATTTAGAAAAACTGAAATTAGGATGTTCCCCAACTAATGGAAACTCTGTGGTCCCACCTATATCAGACAACACATCTCTGTATGTAACCTCTGCACAGACTTCTAGCTTACCCTCAAGTGTGAGATAAAACTGCACTTTAAGGCATCTTACCTATACAAGTGGGGAGGATGCCATTTTGTGTTCTCATGAAAACATCCTGATGAATAAACCTGGATCCTCTTGCAAGATGTGCTATAAACTATATCGCTTGCTTAATTCAACACTTTTTTTTTAACCATGTATAATAGTGTTCATCCAACAAAAGCCATATGGATTTTTCTTTTTTTTTTTTTTTTTTTTTTTAATTTAATGCCTTAAATGGCCATTTTTCTGTCTTATGTTCTGTCACTCCCATTGTAATATGGCTTCTATGCCATGGCAAATTTTTACAACTGCTAGTTCCAAAAGGGCTTTAACTTCTGCTGGATGCAAGATCAGCCTTTAGTGTGCTGTGTGAAAGTTTTTAGATTGAGAGAGAAATGTGGCCTTCACCAGGTTCAGCTCTAAAACTGTTATGTCGCTGGCTGCTTTGTAATATGGGTGTTGTCACTAAAGATTTCAGTCTGAGCATGTTCCTTGATATCAATTTTATTCACCATCTTAGTAGTTTCTGCACTGGTTCTCCTTCTTTTAAGCTATAACTAAAGTCAAAACTTTATTTGGATAGAGGGGGATTAGAACACCTGTCAGGTTTTTTTATTGCAGTCCGTGCCCCTGTTAGGGAGATTTACCCTCTCTGGATTTGTCCTGTTTACCATTATATCACTGAAAGTGAAAGCAAATCCCAAGTATTGGGTTGTCCCCAGTTCTGGTGACAACCAGGGATTCCCTCACTTTTAAAGAGTTTTTCTCACTTGCTATTTTAGCCATGGGACATGAAGTAAAGGCAAATCTCCCCAGTGTGACACAGATGGCAAAAAAACCCTTGCGGGGATTATAACCCTTCCTTACTCTATTCAAAATGAAAAAAAAAATTCCTTTAGTTCTAATTTAATGCCTGAGTCAGCGAAATTAATTTTGATATTTGTGATGTTTGAATAATTTCTTAAGCTTCTCAACTTTAAGGACATTCCCCAAACCATACACATGTTTTTACTGCATAAATGCATCCTCTCTTGTTTATAGAGAGTGAATTCTGTTGATTGTGATATGCTACAAGAGGATGCCTAAACTACAGTCCTCTAAGAGCTGCTAATAACATTCACGTGCAAATGTTCAGTTCTTTTCTTGAACTTGACATAATTACATTTGTTATGCAGTTAACTACAGAGTGATTCTGTCAGCAGTCTTATCTGGCTACTGCCATCTGAGTGGCTTGACACTGTTGAACTTGGAAACATTATTCACCTAATCTTCATATGTGTGTCCTTAAAAGAGAAGTATGGCCAAAGCTCTTTTTGCCATACCTTTCTTCAGGGTCACAGAAGTGCACTTCAAGCTCACGGTCGGCTGACATCACAGAGCCAGTTCAGTCTCTGCAGGGATCTCAACAATGATGTTGAGCCTCTCAACGTGCCTGCTCCCACCCCCCTCCATAGCACAGCACTTAAGAGGGCACTGGGGGGGGGGCAGAGCAGAGAGCTGGATGACGGTCACCGCTGTCTTCTCAGTTAAGACCGTGAATTTCACAATCGGCATTCATGTGATAATTTGCTTTTTGGACTCAGAGCTGGCAGGGACAGCTGCAGCATTGAGCCGATGTTGCATCCACATAGGGGAGTATGTAGGTATGGGGTTTTTTTTTTTTTTTTTGTAATCCTGCACTTTTATACATTTTCAGAGCTCCTTAGTTCAGATATACAGCAAGTTGTAATATTGGCTGTATATGTTTCACTATGGCTTGTTTCTGCAGGGCTGGCACTATGAATCTGCAGCCCTAGCCATTTTGACATTTATCTCTGATAAAGAAGTTGTATCCTAAGATGCACAATTTAGGAAAATTGTTTTTTTTTTTTTCTAATATACATAGCCCTTCTGCAGACAGTTACCATAGCCGTTATTGCAGAAAACATTGACCCCTGCGTTGTTCACGTGAAACATTTTTGGAAATGTGAAATGTTTGTGTGGACAGAACATTGAAGTACATCTAGATGTGGGTTTAATAGCTGCTTATAGGTAGTTTTGTTATGGTTTTTATAGTCATTGCTTAACTTTCCGCAAACGTGCACAACTTTCAAGGCTGTGGATGGAATACTAGCAGCAGCTGGCAGTCAGCAGTGTCTGTGATGGCTAAATGTTTAGGGTTTCCCAGTGACTTACTTGACAACCCAGACAAATGAACAGCTACCCAAGAGCTCATTTTGGTTATATTCTTCTGTAAATGGATTTTATTGGTGGCTTATTATAAGTAAACCAGCTTGTATACATACAGTATGTGCTATACATTTATTGGACAGCACCCATATTTAAAACATGCTTATTTCTTGGTTTGGTAGGGTTTTCAGTTCTGGAAATATTATTTTCCAGCAACTGTTTCATTAGCTCTTATTTGGCTAGTCCACCTAAAAGTGACATTTTGGTACTGCTTTGAATTTGGTGCTCTGAATCACTCACTGGCTTGTTGTATTTTGGGAGGAGCCAGTAGTAATAATCTTCCACCATAGTTCTAGATTCTCTGTATACTAAAATTACTTAAAAACCCAACAGAAGAACAGAATCCTGGAAAATGTGCTTAGCCAGAAAACATAAGTATATAGATCATCACCACCGAAGACTGCAAGAAAAGCAAACAAGGAAATTTTAAAGGAACCTGTCTGGAGAGGAATATGGGTTCTTTCACTGATGTATTTAAGGTGTCGGCTCAGATTTTTGTTCTTGCTTCACTATTTAGTGAGTGGCTGAGCTGGAAAAAGCATGTGCATTTATAATTCTATATTAGGTAGTGTCCCTATCTAGTATACAAAAGGTTTTTCCTTTTGCAGTGTCTTACCAATTAGTGAAAGAACAACAGAAATAATGTCTCAGACTGGACACTCATAGCAACAACAGCTCCATTATTTATCTCCTGGTGGGTTCCTCTTAGCTGACATGGTTTTTTAAGCCTAAAAATGCATATAGTAATTGCCAGTGTATGCACTTTGCATCTGAAACTTGGAGAATGTTTATTGTATTAATGAAAAAGGTGGGAGAGTTTTAAGTCCAAAGAAAAGTTCATGTGCACACTGGTATCTTTACTTCAGTCAGGATTAGGATGATTGATCCCTACTGAGGAATGTAGTGACTGTGTGCAGACTGCTCATTGACATGATTGATTTAACATGCCTGCAAAGGAATGAAACATACATGATAATCCTTGTATTTTTTTTTTTTTTCCATCATTCATGCTCAGACGGGATCATTGAAAGCAGCAGACTTTCTTGTGTTCATTTTCCATTGACAGAACAATCAAGAATAAAATCTATCCATCTGTATGTAGCTTTCCACATGTTCTGTTTATAATTAATGTAAATGCATTTGCTGCATCAGGTAAAAAAACACACAGATCCAAGAGCCCAGTGCTTTTGTGCAGGATGCCAAAGAAATGTACATTTTGGTTTTTAAATATTATACTGGGCAAGTAATCCTATTCTGCATGGTACTATCGTATAGTTAGTCTATCCTTGTGGACCCTTCTAGTTCTGTAATGCTAAGGAATTTGAACAGAAGATTATTATGATGCTCTTCCCATGCACACTGACACAGCAGTTTCTTCTCTCAGGTTAAATGCCATTGATCTGTATATAGTAAATGAATATGGTACTTTCTGTCCTCTACATCTCCCGGTCCTGATATGATTACCTTTTTCATTCAGTAGTCTGTCATTGATGTACTCTTCTGTATATCTGTGTGGTGTGTGTGTGTGCGTGTGTAAAATATATATATATTTTTTCCCCCTCCTCCTTTTTTTTTTTTTTTTTTTTTTTTTCCCACAAGTTACCTGCCACCTTCTCACATGCTTCCTTGACATCTGCTTATGTTCACACAAGCACTGCAGTGACAGGTCATCCATTGGTATGCCTGTAGTGCTTTGGTTTTTTAATCTTCACCATGGAAAACTGATTCTTTTCTGGCTGCTTGGACCTTTGCAGTATAATGTACATGCACTGTTAAGCACAAGTCAGAGACTTCCCATAGGCTGTGAAGACTTCAGCTTCTCTACACTGTCAGCAGAGAACATCATAGCATCAGTTAGTTTTATACCCACAGATCTATTACTCGTAATGACCATCTCTCAGGGTTTTGTGTTCGAATAATTTGCGGCCAATACTCTGAGATGTTCTCATATAGTAGGCTAAACACTGTGTGTACCTTGTTACAACAAATGTAATGTATACAAGGTATTCTACAAAAGAAAGTGTTTTGATTGCTCTTAGTTTCCTGTCAGACTTTATAATCTTGAAGTAACCGTAGCTGATTTATTGCTATGGGCAATTAATGCTTTCTTGAACACCTTTTCATGCAGCAGGTTCCTGATCTGTATGTGTCCTACTATAGGAGAATTGTTGAGCTAAAACCTCTGTAGTCTTGCATCTTTAAGACCGCGTCTGAAACAGAAAAGTTTAATAAAACACATTTCCCAATAAAATAACTGAGGCATGGTATAGATAGTTATGATTTTTTTGCATTGTTCCATTTAACACTGGCCCCAGATTGTTCCAGAATAACTGTAGATAAGTTGTAATATTGCTTTCAGTGTTAACAATATATTCTGTGTAAAAATGCAATTTTTGTAAATAATCAAATCCGTAAATATGGCGAGTGCACAAAAGGATTGTTGTAATTTAAACATTTTGTTACTCAATACATTTTTTAACACAAACTGTGTAAAATGCTGCTATAAATTAAAATCATTGTGAGTGCTGTTACATTTTTATTTTTTTTGGTTTAAGAATGGTGCCACAATTGTTTTGTAAGTTAAATATACCTGTGCCATATAATTTGATTTTATACCTTTTTGAGTAATGTATGTACCAAGCATATTTACTGCTCAATCTTTCATTTCATTCAAGTCTTTGTTTTGTCCAGAGAATGAAAGCTGTTCTTGTTCTCTGGGTATGGTATAGAAACTTCAGAAGGTGCAGACTGTGGACAAGGGTGTGTTGTGATATG